TGTCCCAGTCATCACTATTCACAAATTTCGTACAAATATTTCAGTTCAATATTGTGAATTTTGTTTTCACTTTGGATTATGATGTTTAAGTATTGAAGCATATTTTTAAATCGTGTAATATTCACATGTTGCTTTTAATGTGTATATTAAACGCAACATGTACAGCTATTGTTAATGTTTTTTTTAAAGAAATGTTTTTAATAAATAGCTATAGGAATAAACTTGTATTTAGATAGCAGATTATCGATGGGTTTTTAGCGGTAAATAATAACACATAATTATATAAAATAAATATTTTTGTTTCGTACTTTTAAATAAATTGCGTGCGCCATCGTTGAACAGTTGTATACATTTTAATATTATATGTAAAGATTAAATTAGTTTCCATTATATTGTTTGCTTTTATTATAGAGAAATGCAAAAAATAGTAATTATTATTTGTTACTAATTTCAATGTAAAATGTTTTCATTAAACTACACATAGATCTATTAAATATTAATTTTTTATATAGTAATAAATTGTCATTAGTAATTAGAGTTTTATTTATTTAATTATAATTATAACAATTGTAAATTTTGTGACAAAATTAGTACCACTTTGTATTTGGTAATAATTTAACGCGTATGAGTTAGGTGAGGTTTTTTTTACTACATTGGCTTTTTGAAAAATCAACTTCTAGCGAGTAATCGGCTACCGAAATAAATAGTAATTTGCAAGGCATTGTTAATGACGAGTTCGGATGACTCTAAATTGCCAAGACTTTAGTAATTAATATTGAAATTCGTACACCATGTTCAACTATATATGAAGATCTTTTGGTGACGGTTATATGATTATTTTTTAAATAAAATCGATTTGGATGTTATAAAGCTATACCCCTTAGATTTAATGTGGCCCAGGGCCGGCCCCCCCCCCAAATTTAAAATTCAAATATTTTTACGAATTATCAAAAACGTGCGAGGACTTATATACATTGAAATTATTATTAATTTGTGATTACTATTGAGTAATACAGTTATTATTATGGCTGTACTTTCATTTTTATATTCATAGAAAACGTTATTTGAAAAAGATAACGTTCTAGACGTAATAATAAATGAAATAGCAGTTACTCCAAACGTGGTTGTAGGTAAATTTTTTTTAGCTCTGTTCCAACAAATGATAACAAACTACCAAGTATCTGCATTGATTAGAATCTAGTTGATTACAAAATTCGATAAAGTATACTATATGAAAATTTTTTTGATAAATCTTAGCTTTAATTTGTTTCTTTTTTTATAATTCAGTAGTTACAATAGGTAATTTATTTGTTTTTTTTAATTTGTTATTTGCGTGCTCTAAATAATAGTAATAAAAATATGACTAAAAAAAGGTAGGAATTGTTTTTAATTTTAAATAAAATAAATTTTACATTGTTTATAATATATATTTTTTTTTAAATTTTTTATAACTTATTTGTTATTAGTATTTAGGAATAAATTATTTTTTCTTAATAGCTTAAAAGTTGAAAAATTTAATTAGCTTATGTTCACATCATTATTTTATTAGCTTTTACTATGTGTTTTTTTTTTTTTTTGTCTGTTACCACTTTTTCTCAGTCTCGACGAACCGATTTCTTTCAATGATAAGTCAAAAGATCACAAATCGTATCTAGTCGAAGATATTACCCTCAAAAATTGGAAAAATTTCCCTCGTTCTCCGTAAATGGGGGAAACCCCCCAAAAAATTACAAATTTAAAAATCGCTAATTTTCGAAATTTTCGAAATTTTTTTTACTTAAAATTGCTATAAATTTTTTATATAAATACATGATATCTTTACTTTTCATTTGATATATTTTTTTATAAATCTGACCTTTTACCTGCCCACGGGGGGATTTAAAATGACAACTTTTTCACAAAAAATTAACTTTTTCCACTTAAATTTTTAAAATGTTCCGGAAAATGACACTTTTATCTATATATTAAATTAAAACTAATGTAATGTACTATTTTATTTTAAAAAATTTCGGACTTTATTTTGTCTTCACGGTGAAAATGGCTACCGAATGCTATTTTTGTGTAAAAATTATCGATTTTGTATTTTACATTTTTAACTTTATAATGTTATAACTTTTTGAAAAATGTATGGATCAACACAATTTCTTTATGAGAAATAATATTTTTTAATAATCCCTTTTTCATTCGACATACTTTATCTTAATCAGGATATTAATAAGGAAATAGCAGATCATGTAGCTCTTGGAATAATCCACCATTTTTTTAAAAATAAACACAAATTTTGAACTTGTAAGATTCATAGAATGGAATACTGTCTAAGGAGGAGTGGAGGGAGCACCCCCCACAAGCTTTTCATGGGAAACAAATTATGGAAAATGATACAAGGGCCCAAAATTGTTGGCCCCTCCAATAAACATTTTCTGGCTACGTGCCTGCGTATAAGATTCGTTAAAAATCAATAATTTAATTTAAATATTTATTATCTATTCAAATAAAAAAAAATATATTTCAATTTTTTATAGACCACTTTACTAGTGTATTATTTTTATATTTTTAAACTACATATTATAAATAAATAGTATCGTTCCAAATAAATGTAAAAAATTACACAAATAAAAAAAATGTATACGTTTTTATCGCGGGAAAAGGAAATTTATTCCTATGCGATACATTCGCATTAATTTAGCCGTATGAAAAAAATTCAGCGAATTAAATTTAACTCAGTAGACCTAATTTTTTTTCGAGTAACATTATAATATTTTGATCAAGTTTGCGATAGTAATTATTGTAAAATGTTTACACAGGTTTTATTGAAAAATGTGTGATTACTTTGTCTATTAGTTGAAAAGTTTAAGTTTTTGCTAAGTTTTGAATTACCATTTTCACAATTGGTTGCACAGAAAGCTTTCTAATAGTCTTCAAAGTTCAAAAAACAAAATGCAATAAGTAACTGCCGTCGTTAACGCTTCTCTAAAGGAAAATATGCAAAACGTTTAAAGAAGGCACTGGGGAAAAACCTATAATGAAACCATATTATCATTTCATTCAGTAAAATATTAAACGCATTTTAAGCACGAATCTCGCTTACAACAGCAAACAATTATTTTAACATGGCAATTAAATGTATCAAATAATTATATGATGAAAAACAATCGACTATACCGCGTGGCTTGCATGAAAATTTTGTTACAATTCACTGGGAAATTGTATTGGATAGTTTGTAATGATTTTTCATTATATTTAGAATTAATTTGTCTAAACTAAAATTCGTTTAAACAATTTTACGATGACAAAACTCAGAAAATCGTAAGGATTTTTACTTAACACATAGTGTTTTACGGATTTAAACACAGCTGAACACTACAAGTTACAACCATGTGCAAAATTAATGTTTAAATCATATTTTACGGTAAACTTGTTGTCAACAGCAATGTTGTTTTAAGTTGAACAATGAGCATACTTGGGTGACTTTGAACTTTCAGGTTATGCAGACTGATATCGAATAATAATTTACAAGGCTCCCGAAAACTTTCTTTGGGCTTCTGCAAAACATGTCAGTGCTCCCTAATCCGTACGCATGTTAATTTATTCGCTTAGAGGATGCGACCTACGCAGAAAATTAAAATGTACGGTGTAACACCGAGATAATAAGTAAATGTATCATCTCGTTGAAGACGATCTAAAATTTGAGTGCTACTACTTTCGGTTGTTTTTTAGGCAATACCGTCAGACTGCCGACTCGGAGAAAAGGCGAATACCACGTGTGTAAACAATGTTCTAAGATTATGTCAGCGCGTTAATAATGACACCAATGTTATTACTGAATTTAATTTCAAACGATGCGGCCCGGCCGAGTTATTGATCAGACTAAAATATTCGGTTTTATACATATTTCTCGGTCCAAGTTCACTGCCGTTATCGTCAACGGTTATTCCGCTCGTTTCCAGACTCCGTTGTGCTGGTAATGATATTTTATCCGATCGAGAAATGCTTAAGAGATTAATGATTTATGAACGCGCGCCGTTTCATTTCCCCCGGCCGTTTCAACGTGCGGGTCATACACTTCTTCGCGGGGCTGATTATCGCGACACAAATGATACTCGTGTAATGTATTCGGCGGCGCTCAGGTAGTTTGCCGGCAATCATGTGTGAAAAAGCGAGAGCCTCCCCGACCGCACCATCCGAGGGCGCACTTTGGAACGACGCAATTTCTTTTCTAAACGGAACCGAATCTTACGAGTGCACTTGGCCCCCCAACATCCACCACTTCATTTACAAACGGACGACTTAAGTTGTTTTCGCTAATACGACGAGATGTTATTGCGAAGCGCGAAACAAGTGCGTTTTCGTTAGGATTTAATTTCGTACATAAAACAGTCTGGCCGACGTCCAACACCACCACAACATAAAATAATATCGTCATTACACATCGCGTGCATTCGTGAGAGACATAAACTATTCGCCGGCCGTGAGTAAAAACAATATCAGCCCCGGTGACCTAGTGAAGGTTTCTAAAAACAAAAGCCACCGCGCGGCGATTAAATTTCAAACACAATACACTTACGATAGCGCTTGCCGAGAGAAAGAGAAAAGGCGGCGGCGGCACTTACCGCAAACGATACTCGACGTTGGCTTTTTTTTAGGCGAAGGTCACGTGGGAAAAAACCGTGTGAAATTTACCGCGACAAATCGGCAGACGGGCGTCAAGTAGAGGGGTCGTCGGCTAATTTTGATTTCTGACTCATTACAACGACAATAAATTAACGTCAAACGCCACCGCTCTTTCATCCATCACCCAGTGCACCGGGTTACTATATCGGATGACGCCGTCAGAATAACGCACGGCCCGTTGATTTACGATGATCGTCTTAATTGGAACGCCACAGATAGACTGCGCGCAACCCCCTCATATTATTATAATAATTAATATTACCGTTATTATTAACTTTCTCGGAAAAATAGCACACACAAATGTGCTTAAACAATACATACGCACTCACCTTTTTCTCGTAAGTGTTTATATTGTCGCTCGTTATCCGAGTGTTCTCTTTCTGAGTATCCTTTTTTATGCCATACCCCCTTTGTGATGAGTGGCTAGTACAGGTCAAAACGTATGCCGGCTGGTGGCAAGTCTTTTTCAAACCGCCTATCGCCCATCAATTTCTGTCGATTCGACGAAAAAATTGCATTAGACGTTCACTGATCCAACGATTTTCATGGCGGTGGACATGATATGGCATAGCTTGTTGAAGCTCACCATGTTCAGTTTTGTACACGAACTTACACAAATTACTTAAGATGATTTTTTTTTTGGCCCCGCTGTTTCGCCAATAACGTTTACGGTCGACTTAAGTAATTCAATAGCGACAGCAGTCGTGAGCAATTAAACCGACAGTTTGATGTGAAACGTTCATGAAGTGTGTGTGCGTCGGAGAAAATGATAACGACACTCGCGCGAGCGGTTGACCGGCCGAACGCGAACTACTACTGCCAGAAAACTGAGTCTGTGTGTGGCCCGTATGGACGTGACCGCGACACCACATACAATCGAACGACGGCGCAAACGCAGAGTAGCCACGCTTGGTATATCCCCCCGCGTTCTTTTCGCCGCATTCCTCCTCTTTAACCCTCCCCCCCCCCCACGAGTATCCTTCTCGTTCTCCTCCCGAAGACCCCTATCTATGCGTGTCCCCCTGTTTCACCAATGCTTATAAAAAAAACCGTCTACTATCGCCCAACCTATTTGACATTTCGTCCTAAGAAGAAATAATAAATAATTTACAAAACAAACACCCTTACCTGTTGTTAATGCAATCATCATTATTTTTATATCACTATTATGCTTTAAAAAATAAACCACCTGACAAAGTTGACCTTTGAACCCGCATTACAAATCAAACAAGTGATATCGACAAATAACTGTTAGCTAATTTATAATTGGTACCAGAACTTAATGTGATGTTTTTTCAAACGTATCATTAAAAAAAAAAACAATGTATCAGCATGACTAATCGGGATGTTTTAATTTATAGATAGAAACTTTAAATAATTTTGTGGTTGTATATTGTAATCTTTTTAATAATTGATGGTACTTAATTTATTAATTTTTTTTCATTTTTACATATAATACTAATTTATAGTTAATACAATTAATAATTAATTCGACAATTTTTTTTAACGAAATGTAATAATTTATTATATTTTGTTTAAAAAATTGTTGAATGTATTTAATTCGTTACTCGATAATTCGACATATTTTTACATAATATTTTATAATAGAAATGATTGTTGTTTACGAGAAAAAAATTTTGTAATTTATACACGTATACATATTGTTTTTAAGTATAGGACAAACCCAAAAAAGGAGATTTGTGACAGATCACAAGTTTGAGAAGCCTTACAATCATGAAAATCGCACTAGACTTTCTAACTAACGGAGTGTACCGATAGATTAAATAATCCAAATTAGTAAATGGAGAAATGGATTACAAAACACACATAAAAAAAAATTGGCAATAAAATAAAAATAAAAATAGATTCAAAAAAATAATAATAACCGTCCAAACAATTTTACAATATGTTAAAAACAAAAAATGTAAATCTCACGCAAAAATTACATGGTCAACAAATTTACTCATTTACTCATTTAGCTTTATTCGGAAACCATTTTGTTAGCTTTCTCTTTCTAAACAATAAAATAACTATTTCTGCTTAATAGTGTTTGCATATTAGTTGTTTGTACAAACTAGCGAAGAACCCAATTCATGAATATTAAATTAATTATTACTAACAAAATTAATGTAAGTAAACTATAAAATCAAGTAGATTAAATAGAATATATTTTGCAATTCTCGCAAGATTCATCAAGAGGACTTTTATTGTGCAACAAAACAATAAATATATTTCTATTTTATTTTAGAAAAGTTTATTTTAATATTTTACAATAAGCTTGTCTACAACCAAATTCATTAAGTTAATTAGCATAAGTGTAACACAATTTTGATTTAAAATTTATTATACAGAATGATTGCATTATCGTTAACCACTAGATATCTTCAAACCTAAATATTATACAATTTTTTAAGAAAATGACTGATCGATAGCAACTTTTGAAACTGTATTTAAAAATTTACGAATATTTTTATATCTGCTGGTCTATTTTTGAATTTTATGTTGGTACACTAATCTGCTTAGTTTACCAAAACATAACGTTTTAATGCAATTATTATTGTAAAACTAAAACAACATACTTTTGAATGATATGTTAAAAAATAATTATTAGTGTACTAAAGTTTTAGTTGAACTTTTAAGAGTGGGTATCTATAGCACTAATCATGATTTTATTATAATTTATATTACTATATTCACTACTTTATATTTATTTTATTTTAGTACACTAATTACTGTTATAATTCATTTTTATGAAGACATATAATATTTAGTGTATTTATTATGTTTGTAAATTAATTTATTAATACAAAAATGTAAAACCTTAATGTCTATGATATTCAACTTATAAATAATTTAGAATTTATCGATTAAGGTCAAGATAATGACCATACAACAGTGAGATTAAATATAGCGGAAGATCTGTTCATTAGTATTTTATAAAACTAATTATAACATGTAAATTTATATAGTTACATTAATAAAATATTTTTTTCTCTTGTTTTGTCTGAAAGGCCATTTTGTATAAAAATTCAGACTATCAATAGATCTTATACTAAGTTTAATTAATGAACTACGAACATAAGGAATAAATGTATTTTTCCACAACTCCAAATATTTAAAAAAATTATGTACAGTATTTTCTAAATTTTTAAAGATTTAGTTTGTCAACTGAGTAGCTGAGCTCGTCTATCTGCCAAGTTATCCTATGTCTACAAGACAATTATAATTAATATTATAATGTAAATCATATAATATAAAATTACTAATTAATTTTTCATAGAGAATTTTGCGAAAACTAATACAATTTAAATTATGAAACATTTCTTTCTTATAATTTAATTATTAGCTTCGATACAAAGCTGTGAAAATATGTAATATTTGATTGTATGGGTTTTTTATACGTAAAAAATTTCAGTTCACGCTAGAATGACATTAATTTTCAATACGTCAAAAGAACTCGATTTTAATATAGTTGAACATATGCTCACCAAAAATTTAAAAAAAAAAACTAATTTTAAAAATTTTTGAAAAATATCTCTAAATTACGTTATCGTAAAAAATGAATTTTCAAGAAAAATTGTTTTGACACAATAGTTTAAAATTTCTGTTATTTTTCCGTAAAAATTAGACATCTATCATAGTAAAATATAGTCTAAATTGTATGGTATTTAATTTTGGGTGTTTATAAACAAAATTAATTGAGAATTTATTTTTTTCCGTATTGTAAAAAATAACACAAATTAAAATTAAAAATACTAACGAAAAAACAGCAGCCAATATAATTTAATAAATTACACTAAACATTTTAGGCTTAATATAAAATTAAATTAGACTTTATCGCGCTCCTTGTTCCTTGATGCAAAATAGAGTGCAATAGAGTCAAGTATAATGATAAAAATAACGTAAAACACGTCATGTCTCCAGTCATTACTTTAAAAAATTAATATCAATAACTTCTAAAAGTTTATTTGGATTATTCATTTTCTTAGTTAGATCACTGTCTATTAAACAAAATAGTTAATTATGCATGTTTCACTCTGAAAATATAAAGGAAGAACATAAAAAAAACCTTAAATAAATAAAAAAATCTGAATTTTATTTAAAGTGTTTGACTAATTACGCGGTTCACGATAAATCAATTACATCAGCATAATTGTCTGTGCTTACAGATCCATTGCTTCGTTATTGTAAAATATCAACTTGCATTATAATAAAATTTAATGTAGCCTGGAAATACATCGAAATTTTTAGTTGTGGCATATGCTGGTTTTTGAACACGATAAGTCTTCAATGTAAAAAGACACGAAATGGATATAAGTTTTGAACAATACTGTTTTTTCAACCGTACTTAACACACTATAAATACGGAAATGTTATTAACTAGAGTTGCCGGCAGTCGAGTAACGAAAATAAGGATGCACGATAAAGATCTTGTAAATAGAACTATCGCGTCATGGATGAGAAATCCAAATGGAACAATAACAGTAGCTTCCTTTCCTCCCTAAGAAGTGACTACTCCAAAGTTAGGGGAAATACCACATTAGGCTTTATCATACTATTTTCGTATGTATGGCGAAATTGGTGGTTTAACTAGTACATTTCAAATGAGGTCAAGATATTTAATGGATTCTATAACGCTTATTCTTAATTTGATATTGTTAGAATTAAATTAAATATACTTATATAAATAATTTTAATATGACTAATAGCATAAAGTTAAAGACAAGAGTATTATAGAATTTAAAAATATATAATTATTATAGTTTCAGCATTAGATCATAATCAGGTTACTTAAATTAGAATAATCAACATAAACAAAATATGTTCTAAGTGTCTTTTTATATTTATTATTTTAATTTTATAATAATCTTGGTTTTAATTATATACTTTCATACTAATATTAATATTAATATTAAATTTTTTATTTATACTATTATAAATATACATTGTTTATTTCGAGTAGTACTAGGTGACTAGTGTTGCTCTGTCTGACAATTACCTTAATTAAAATATTTAACTTTAATTGTTTAAAAAAAAAATGAACTCTATACATTTATACTTTAGTTTTAGCACAAGGTATTTTTACAAATACTTGTAATAATTTTAGATATAATTAATGGCCATTTAAAAAAATTAATAAAATTTAAAATTGACAATTCAATTAGATTTACCGAATAGTAATCGTTAAACCTGATTTCTGAGTACACATAATTTATATCATCAATTTAATGAATTTTCGAGTTGGTAGTGATAATTGTAAGTAAATTTCAATTTGTTCTTATCCTTAGAGTTCTAGCATAATATTAATAATAATATTCTTTCACATTAATATTATTTTATGAAACAGGACCAAAAATACATTTTCGCAATTACGCAAATAGCTAATTTATAATAAATTTTATTATGAAATTTTAAGCTAATAAACAACTAATTTCATAAATTAAACCTTGGTGAATTTTTTAAAAAGTCACTTTTAATTCTTATAAAATGCTTATTATTTATAAGTAAAACTGTATGTTAATGACTACTGTAAAAAGCTTAACAGAGTAAAATTTCAAAACATAAAAATACAAAAGATGAAATTCTCTTGTTTGAACTTTATTTCTATACATTTTCTTATAATCCATTAAAGGAAGTAATGTTTTTGTGTATTACACTTAGATTTACTACACACAGAACAATGCCAAAAGACATTATTATATTTAAATATCATTTATTTATTGAAGTTCTTTAAATTTAGACATTTTATAAATTTCAGATTTCTACTTATTCTACATAACAATAAAGGATTACACTGTTTTGGCTCTAATTTATAATTTATAGGACGCGTGTAGTCAGGC